TCAAAACTACCATTAGAAAACATCTTATCTCCCTGATACACCCCGTCAACTAACTACACGAATACCACCTGGTGGTTCACACTTACACTCGCTCACTCATTTGACCATAAACAGAAATATTAATCTCAGTCTTAAAATAATGAATCCTGTGATACTCCAATACTGAAAACTATATACTGTGCCAAAACAAAAGCATTCACATTGCTAAACTCATAAACTAGTATTTAGTCACTTAGCCATAAGACCAACTTACCTCATAATTTGTAATATTTTACAATTAAGAATAAAACTAAGTATGCCCGAAATGCCTAGCCATGCTAAGCGTTCTAGTGGTACACTCTGTAATCACAATTTTACTACATGTAAACCAAACAATAACCAAATTTCTGTAAACTCAGCATTGTAATCCTTATAGAGAATAAACTTTGAATTGCATCATATGGTACCATATGGTACCATTACACCATATGGTACCATAAGGTACCATTGCACCTTATGGTACCATTGTATCATATGGTACCATTGTACCAAATGGTGCCATTGTACCATATGGTACCATTGTATCTTATACCATTGTATCATATGGTACCATTGTATCATGTGCCATTGTGCCATATTGTACCATATGGTACCATTGTATCATATGGTGCCATTGTATCATATGGTACCATTGTATCATGTGCCATTGTGCCATATTGTACCATATGGTACCATTGTACCATATGGTACCATTGTATCATATACCATTGTATCATGTGCCATTGTGCCATATTGTATCATATGGTACTATTGTATCATATGATACCATTGTATCATATGGTACCATTGTATCATGTGCCATTGTGCCATATTGTACCATATGGTAACATTGTACCATATGGTACCATTGTATCATATGATACCATTGTATTGTATGGTACCATTGTATCATGTGCCATTGTGCCATATTGTACCATATGGTACCATTGTACCATATGGTACCATTGTATCATATGGTGCCATTGTACCATGTGGTATAATTGCACCCTATGGCACCATTGTACCATATGGTACTATATGGTACCGTTGTATTCAACACAATAACCGCACTAATATTTTCATCATTTTGTTTACAATAAACTTGTAAACAAGTTTTGTAAGCAACATAATGATAAACAAATTAGTGCAGTTATTGTGTTGAATACAATGAGTGTACACTTATACAATATACATTATATTGGTCTCACAGCCCACAAATGTTATTAGAAAAAGAAAAAAATAGAAAAGAAAAGAAAAACGTATAAAAAATGTAAAATAAAAAAATGGGATTTTGCAGAAGTCACTAATGTTGCCGCCACCGGGTCATTTTGGGTCAACTTCCCGCCACTGTATATAGGTAAGTACTGATCAGAATTTTTTGTTTTTTGTCTTATTACCTTCACAAAAATATACTCTTTAACCCTTTGAGGGTTTCGGACGGCTTACGACCCAGGGTTTTTGACGTACTAGTACGCCTAAATTCTAGCGCCCTCAAATCTAGTGGGAGAAAGCTGGTAGGCCTTCATATGAAAGAATGGGTCTATGTGGTCAGTGTGCACAGTCTAAAAAAAATCCTGCAGCACACAGTGCATAATGAGAAAAAAAAAGTTTGACCATTTTTTTGGAATAAAACAGCGACTTTGCACTGTATTTTCGTATGGTATTTATTGTTGTATTCTAGTTTTCTTGGTCTCATTTTATAGAATGGAAGACATACTACAGAAATTGAGATGATTTTGACTGGTTTTACAATGAAAGGTACCTTGAAATTGAGCTCAAAGTAGCAGAAATGTTCGATTTTTACCAAATTTCAAAATTAAACAAATCGTGCAATACACGTCAACTGGTGAGTCTAATATTCTTTCACAAGTGCAACAATAATGTTTATACCATTTTTTACACTAATGCAGTAGTCTGTATAACAGTAAATCTTATATTTTTTGTGAGAATAAAAATTCAAAGTGGAAAGCAAAAGAATATAAGAGGGGCCTTGAGACGTGACTAATGACCAGAGGAAATGTCATTTTAGTGCCAGGAATGTCTTTCTTGTTTATTCTGGACCCTATTCGGAAATTGGCATCTTTTGAAATTTGTGTGAAATTGGCAAAATTGCTAAATTCTGACCACTGTACTGGATAGTTGAATTTCATAAATGGGTGGTTTCTTGCACCCATTCGATAGAAAAAATGGAGTTCAAGCGAAATATTCATGTTTTTTGTCGACTAGTACAGTGGAATTGGCTGAAAATGGGGCTCAAAGTGGGCAAAATCGCCGATGCGTTAACATCGCCGAGACCGCTAACTTTGCGAGAGCATAATTCCGTAAGTTTTCCATCAAATTTCAAACTTTTGGTGTCCTTATGATCGGGAAAAGATTCTCTATCTTTTCATAAGAGAAAATATTTTTTTTTTTTTTTTTAAATTTAGCCGACCCTGAGAACGAGTTTCGGAGAGAGCCTGTCGACCCTCAAAGGGTTAATTCTGTAAGAAAAAATAATAATTTTTTTTTTTTTTTCAAAATTTCTTGGACTCTGGAGCACCACTTCAGATTTTGACCTTGGACCCTGAAAGGGTTAAGAACAAGTTTGGGAGAGGGCCTGTCGACCCTGAAAGGGTTAATGTATGGCAAAAAAGTGAGTAGTATTTACTGTAAGAAGTTAGTTGTGGTAGCCCTCCTGGCCACCCCACCTACACATAATATACTATGACATGCTTAACCCTTTCAGGGTCCAGAGGCCAAATTTCCAAGTGCACACCAGTGTCCAAGAATTTTAAAAAAATTATTTTGTTTTTTTTTTCTTATGAAATAGTAAGAATTTTTTTCTGATGGTAATAAAACAAAAAGTATGAAATTCATAGATATTGACGAAATTATGCTCGCGTGAATTTTGATGTGGTCAGCGATATTTACGTATCGGCAATTTTCCGACTTTGACTCCTATTTTAGGCCAATTGCCTTATTCCAGTCGACCAAATTTTTAGCTATTTAACTAGTATTATTTCTATTCAATCGATTGAGCACAAGAAATTCCCAACTCAACTGCTTCAACTAAAAAATAAAGTGATTGGAAATTGGTAATTTGGCCAATTTAGTGCAAAGTTCAAAAAATTCCAAAATTTTAAAGTAGGGCCAGAATAAACAATGCAGGCATTCCTGGCACTAAACTAGCATTTCCTCTATTCATTAGTTACGTTTTCAGGCTTTACAAATGAATTCCATTTTGATTTTTTTTTCACATAATGAATTTTTATTCAAACCAAAAAAATAGATTTACTGTCATGCAATATTGTAATAATTGAATAAATAATATCACCATATTTGTGACATATATTTTAAACCCACCAGCAGGCATGTTATTAGACGTGTGAAGTCATTTGTTTACTCTTGAACATCGGCAAAAATTTAACATTGCCCCTAATTTTAGGGTCAGTTTCAAGCCATTTTCAGTACTAAAACCAATCAAAATCATCTCTATTTCTGTAATATATCTTCCATTCTATCAAATGAGACCAAGGAATTGCAAATACAACTATATAAAACATATGAACAACATTGCAAAGTTTCTGTTTTAATAGAAATTTACGGTCTCAGTTTTTCTCTCTCTCATTATGCACTGTGTGCTGCAGGATTTGTTTTATGTGGTGCACACATACCACAAAGATGTATCCTCTCATATCTAGGCTGAGCTCATGGCGTAGATCTACGGTTTGGACCCTGAATGTAAAGCTGTAGATCTACGGCACAGACCCTGAAATGGTTAAAGCTCCATAGAGTGATAAAATTCATAAACAGCACTCTCATTACTTATCTTAAAATATATGAAATCTTAATAAAAGGGGTGAAAGATGAAAAGTATTTATTTGTAGAAAGTGGTGGGGTAGGTAGGGTAGTGTAGGGAAGCTAGCCTGGCCATCTCACCCACTATGTAAACAAACAGACGAGGGCCCTGAATTTGCACTTTCTAGAAAGGTGTAGAATTAGGGGGGATATGATTGAGGTGTATAAATGGAGAACAGGAATAAAAAAAAGGGGATGTAAATAGCATGCGAAAACTTCTGGTCAAGACAGGACTCGCAGAATGGTTTCAATTTTGGAAAAAAATTCAGATTCAAGAAGGATATAGGAAAGCACAGGTTTGGTAATAAGTTGTGGATGAGTGAACAGACCCCGAGTACAGTTATAGAAGCTAAAACGTTGTGTAGTTTTAAAAATAGCTTAGATAAATACATGGTGGGGGTAGGTGGGTTGTGATTGGACCTGGCTAGCTTGTGCTACTAGGTCTGATCCATTGCTCCTTCCTTAATGGAAGTGACCTGCTAGGTGGGTCATTGGGCTAATCCGGGTGGGGGGGGGAGGACATAGACCTGCTTCGCATGGGTCAGTAGGCCTGCTGCAGTGTTCCTTCTTTCTTATGTTCTTGTGTTATGGTTCATAAGCATTCAGACAAACACCTTACATTGTGTACAAGTTGTCTCCACAGTGGTACAGTAGAATAAATAAAGACCAACAATTCTAGTCTCATGTAATTTTTAGAAGGAATGATGCTCTGACAAATTATTATTTATTATTATTATATTATTATTATTATTATTATTATACTATTATTATTACAAATTGTTATTATTACAAATTATTATTATTACAAATTATTATTACAAATTATTATTATTACAAGTTATTATTATTATAATCATAATAAAAAAGAAGCAGTAAATCCCCAAGGGTCGTGAATTACTATATATAGAGTGAAGGCATATGAAAGGAATATTTATCTACAGTTATCCCCCATTGTTTGACTAGAGAAAACGTAATTTTTCTGACACTCCTACTAAGCCTCTTTGTAAACAAATCTCATATTTATGTCAATTTTTATTCTGTGGGTGTATATATAATGTTTATATGCTATGTAACATGTTTCTTATATAATTTTGAAGAAAATATCATAGATGGATTAATGAATATGTCTATATTAACCCTTTCAGGATCCGTGCCGTAGATCTACGGCTTTATGTTGAGGGTCCAAACCGTAGATCTATGCCATGAGCTCAGTTCACTCTGATAAGCTCTGAGCGGTAAATTTGGGCCTAGATATTAAAGAATACATCTATGTGGTATGTGTGCACCACATAAAACAATTCCTGCAGCACACAGTGCATAATGAGAGAAAAAACTGAGACTGTAATTTTTCAATTAAAACAGCAACTTTGTAGTGTTTTCCCATGTGTTTTTTATAGTTGTATTTGCAATTTCTTGGTCTCATTTGATAGAAAGCAAGACATATTACAGAAATAGAGATGATTTTGATTGGTTTTAGTATTGAAAATGGCTTGAAACCGAGCTCAAAGTAGCGGAAATGTTAAATTTTGATGATGTTCAAGAGTAAACAAGCGACCTCAAACGTCTAATACACACCAGCTGCTGGGTTTAATATACGCTCACAAATGTGCTGATATTATTGTATACAATTATTACAATATTGTATGACAGTAAATCTTCTATTTTTTGGTTTGAATAAAAATTCATTATGTGAATTAAAAATCAAAATGGAATTCATTTGTAAAGCCTGAAAATGTAACTAATGAACAGAATAATGTTAGTTTAGAGCCAGGAATGCCTTCATTGTTTATTCTGGACCCTATTTTGAAATTGGAATATTTTGAACTTTGCACTAAATTGGCCAAATTATCAATTTCCAATCACTTCATTTTGTAGTTGAAACAGTTGAGTTGGCGATTTCTTGTGCTCAGTCGATAGAATAGAAGTAATACTAGTGAAATACCTAAGAATTTGTTCGCCTGGAATGAAGTAATTGGGCTAAAATGGGAGTCAAAGTTGGCAAATTTGCCGATGCCTAAATATCGCTGACACATCAAAATTTGCGAGAGCATAATTTTGTCAGTTTTCCATCAAATTTTGTTCTTTTTGTTTTATTACCTTCAAAAAAAGATTTTCTGCCATTTCATATGAAAAAATAACAAAATTATTTTTTGAAAATTCTTGGACACTGGTGCGCACTTAGAAATTTGGCCTCTGGACCCTGAAGGGGTTAACATAAAATATGACATTTAATGTGCCCAGGAGAGATTAGTATTACGTAATATTACTATGGTGTCATGAGTAGAGAGACAAAACGTTACTCGTCAGTCCTAACCAGCCTGATAAGAAGGGCTAAAAAATTGTATTATGAGAACAGATTATCCAACTTAAAAGGTGATATTAAAAAGACCTGGAAAACCCTCTCAGAAATTCTAGGAACAAAAATGATATCAGGAAAAAAAGCAATTGAACTAAGAAAACCTGATAAACCCCAACTCCCACCAACTGAAACAGCAAACAGACTCAATGATTTCTTCTCCACCATAGGAAAAAACCTTGCCAATAAAATCCCAAGCTCAAATACCTCACCCAATGACTACCTCACTGGCAACTACCCGAACACACTGTTCCTAGCTCCGACTAACCCTACAGAAGTCTCCCTTATTATCAACATACTAAAAAACAAGACAGGAGATTTAAATACCTTACCACCCTTTATATACAAAAAAGCATTGCAAGTGCTGTCACCAATCATTGCAACACTCTTTAACAAATCCATCGAATTCTCTACCTTCCCTACAGTTCTCAAAATAGCAAGGGTCACCCTGATACATAAAGGAGGAGAACAAACAGACTTGGATAGCTATAGGCCAATATCCAACTTACCCCTCTCTCTAAAATCTTTGAAAAATTAATTCATAAACAAATCTATTCCTACCTCATCTCCCACAACATACTCAACCCCTGTCAGTTTGGGTTCAGGCCTAATAAAAATATGAATGATGCTATTATACACATGCTAGAACAAATATACACTGCAATAGAGAAAAAAGAAGTCCCACTTGGGATCTTCATTGATTTACGTAAAGCTTTTGATACAGTTGACCATGATTTGCTCCATATAAAATTGTCACACTATAGTATAAGAGGGCACTCCCTCAACTACCTAAAGTCATACCTCAGCAACAGAAGCCAATATGTGTGCACAAATGGAGCAAACTCTTCCGCACACCCAATTACAGTTGGTGTCCCACTGGGAAGTGTCCTTGGCCCTCTTCTCTTTCCCACTTATATAAACGACCTACCAAATGCATTGCAACTACTGAAACCCACACTATTTCCAGATGACACTACATACATCTTCTCTCACCCGAGCCCAGTCATGCTAGCCTGTACTGTAAATACTGAATTACAGAAAATATCTACCTGGATGATGAAAAAACCTACTTCATTCAGTTTGGAAACAGAGCTACAGATGTCCCTCTTAACATAATGATAAATGGATCACCTATCACAAAGCTCACAAAGGGAAAATTCTTAGGAATCCACCTTGATAATAGACTCAAATTTCAAACACATATACAACAAATTTCCAAGAAAATTTCCAAGACCGTAGGCATACTATTGAAGATATGGTACTATGTTCCACAGTCAGCCCTCCTGGCCCTATATCACTCACTTATTTACTCCTATCTCACCTATCTCACCTTAGTCATAAGTCTAGTTGTAGATTCAATATAAATCTTATATCATTTTACTCAGAAAATCTAGTTTGTAAAATTACTCTCATCCTATGATTATAGACATAGATCCTGATGTAAACTTTTTACAAAATGAATTACACGAATCAACCAGTAACTGTAATTACTACACAGCAGACCAAGCAAAGTCATTACTCAGTGCAAACAATAACATAACCATCTTTAACTACAATGTCAGATCCTTGAGCAAACATTATGATGACCTCACAGCATTACTCAGTTCCCTTAATTCCAATATATCAATCATCACACTCACAGAAACCTGGCTTAAGCCTGATATTACAGATGTCTATACCATTCCTGGCTACATGGCCATACACAACTGTAGAACAGACCAGCAAGGGGGAGGAACAGCTATATACAACTCAAATCAACTCAAATGTATCAATAAATCTTGCACAAAGGATGAACATGGAGAATATATCATAGCCAAATTTAAATCAAAAGACCAACAAAAAACCCTCACATTTATAAACATCTACAGAGTACCACAGTCAAACATTTATCACTTTAGTGAAAAACTAGGAAACATGATTACTGATGCACACATGAATAAAGACCACCTACTACTAACAGGTGATTTCAACATAAACATACTACACGACCAGTACCCACAAGTAACCGAATTCACAAACACAATGAGTAACTGCCTGTTGATACCAGCAATATTTAAACCTACAAGAATCACTGAGACAAGCATCTCCTTAATAGACCACATCTGGATAAACACCATATCCCCTTTAAAATCAGGCATTGTCACAGACAACACTACAGACCACTACCCAACCTTTCTCGTAACTAATCTGGGCAAACTACCACAAGACATTACTAAAGTAACCTTCAGACTACACAACGAGACAGCAGTTAACAACTTTATAGCAGCTATGAATAACATCGATTGGCAAAATGAGCTTGAAACATATACAAATATGAATGAATGTGTAAATAATTTTCTAAAAAAAGCCCAAAGCCTCTTTAACAAACATTGCCCCCAAAAAACTAAACAGATCACAGCAAAGAGACTGAATAATCCCTGGCTAACACCAAGCATCCTCAAATCCATTCACACAAAGCACAAATATGAAAAATAGTATAGAATGGGTCAAATAACTAGAGAACAGTCTAAACATTACTCGTCAGCACTTACCAGCCTGATAAGATGATCTGAAAAATTGTATTATGAAAATAGATTACATAACATCAAAGGTGATATGAAATAAAACTGGAAAACTCTATCTGAAATTCTTGGAACTAAAAAGTTATCCAAAAACAAAGCAATCAAACTAACAAAATCAGATGAACACCTACTCACTCCAACCGAAACAGCAAGCAGACCTAATGTTTTCTTCTCCACCATAGGAAAAAATCTAGCAAACAAAATACCAAGCACAAATGTCTGTCCATCAGACTACCTCATAGGAACCTACCCAAATATGCTATTCCTAGCTCCAACCAACCCCACTGAAGTTATGCTCATCATAAACACCCTTAAAAACAAGGCAGGAGACATAAACAACTTGCCTGCTTTTATGTACAAAAAAGCTTCTCAAGTATTGTCACCAATTATTGCAACGCTCTTTAACAAATACATTGAATCATCTACCTTCCCAACAATCCTCAAAATAGTGAGGGTCACTCCGATCCACAAAGGAGGTGACCAAGCTGACTTGAATAACTATAGACCAATATCTAACTTACCACTGCTCTCTAAAATCTTTGAAAAATTAATTCATAGACGGATCTATTCCTACCTCGTTTCACACAACATATTAAACCCTTGTCAGTTTGGATTCAGAAATAATAAAAGCACAAATGACGCTATCATACACATGCTAGAACTAATATGTACCGCACTTGAAAAGAAAGAAGTCCCGCTGGGCATTTTCATTGATTTACGTAAAGCTTTCGATACAGTCGACCATGAACTACTGTACTCCAATTTTAATGCACTATGGTATCAGAGGTGACTCCCTCAACTACCTAAAGCCATACATTAGTAACAGAACTCAATATGTGTATGCAAATGATGCAAACTCCTCCACCAAACCAATCACAGTAGGAGTCCCACAAGGAAGCATCCTTGGACCACTCCTCTTTCTCATCTACATCAATGATCTACCGAATGCATCACAGCTACTCAAACCCATATTATTTGCAGATGACACAACATATGTATTTTCCCAACCAAACACTCTCATAATAGCAAACACAATCAATGCTGAATTACAGAAAATATCTGCCTGGTTGATGATTAACAAACTTACCTTGAACACTGATAAAACCTATTTCATTCAGTTTGGAAACAAAGCTGCAAATGATCCAATTAACATTACGCTAAATGGATCATCAGTCACAAGACTCACAGAGGGAAAATTCCTAGGTATCCACCTTGACAGTAGCCTTAAGTTCCAGACACACATACAACAAATCACCAAGAAAATCTCCAAGACTGTAGGCATACTATCTAAGATAAGGTACTACGTTCCACAATCAGCTCTCCTGGCACTGTACCATTCACTCATATACCCTTATCTTACATATGGAATTTGTGCATGGCGATCAACAACATCCAATCACTTAAAACCCCTAATAACCCAGCAAAAGGCAGCAGTAAGAATGATAACAAATTCCCACTCCCACCAGCATACTCCACCAATTTTCAAAAGTCTGAATCTGCTTACCATTAAGAACATCCATACTTATTCATGTGTTTACTACTTACACAGAACTATACATGCAAATATAAACCCTCCACTCAAACTTCTCCTTACCAACCTAAACAGGACACATGACCACAACACAAGACACATATCTCTTTTTGATATACCTCGTGTCCATATCACACTGTGTAAAAACTCTATGCACATAAAGGGCCCCAAAATATGGAATTCATTACCAGAAGATATTAAAGTAACCCAGTCTGAAAATCAATTTAAGACTCTTCTCAAAAGTCACTTAATCACCCTAGACTAAATGCTAAATACTCAGTATACATTTACTCACCTATGTACTCCCACATCATAGCATTTTAGAATATAAATACGTATATCCTTGTATTATACAAATTTTGATTCATTTATAATTAATATTCTACTGTACAATATGCAATAATTACTATCCTACTGTACAACTATGATATACTCCTTAGTATTAAGTAGACTGTAAGCCAATAATGTTAAGTTGGACCATAATGCCAAGGCATAATAGAGGCTCTCTTTGTATTGCAACCCACTATTGTATATACACAATCTCAATGTACTGTTTGCAAAGACATTAAATAAATAAAATATATAAAATAAAAAAAATGGAATTTGTGCATGGGGCTCAGCAACAATAAAACATCTCAGACCATTAATTACCCAATAAAAGGCTGCAGTCAGAATGATAACAAATTCCCACTTCAGGCAGCACACTCCACCAATATTGAAAACTCTAAACCTACTCACCATACAAAACATCCATACATATTATTGTACCTACTACATACATAGAACACTTAACTCGGATATAAACCCTCCCCTCAAACGTCTCCTTACCAACCTCTACAGACCACATGACCATAACACAAGGCATAGATCACTCTTTGATGTTCCTCGTGTCCTCTCAAACTATGCAAAAACTCAATGCACATAAAAGGCCCAAAAATCTGGAATTCATTACCTGTGAATATAAAAGAATTACTGTCTGTTTATCAATTCAAGACTCTTCTTAAAAATCACTTACAACTAAATAAATACTGAATAAATGTATCTCATAAATGTATAACCTGTGACCCTATCAAACTTTTTTTTTTTTTTAATTACATTACCTAATAGAATACTCCATTCTATTGAATGCACAGCAACACAGTAAATGACCATATGACGTGACTTTGAAATACTACTCATTTGTGCTTAATTGTTATTTGTTTACTATAATTTTTACCACTGAATATATCATTGCTTAGTTAATCTTAAGTTAATTTTAAGCCTGCCCATAATGCTCTGTATACAAGGGGCTTTTGGCATGTTACACTTAACCACTGTACAGTGGTCCCTCGTTTTTCGTAATTAATCCGTTCCTAGAGGAGCTACTATAAACGAAATTTACGATTTGCGAATCAATTTTCCACATAAGAAATAATGTAAATACAATTAATCCGTTTCTGACACTCAGATGTATTAAAACAAAAAAATTTTTTACATGAAATATACATGTAGTACATAAACAATACAATGGGAAATGATGAATGAAACATTAACAGCATAACACTTACCTTTATTGGAGATTCTTCTTAGTGTATGGGAGACTGGAGGAGGAGAGAGATTGGATTGTTTACAGTTTGGAAGGGGAATCCCCTTCCAGCAACACCTCAGGTACCAATTCTTCTCTAGGGTTGCTTCTCTTCTCTGTTTCTTAATGCCACTAGGACCACCTTGAGAGTCACTCTAGTCCTGTCTCGCAAAGTAACTGTGGAGAGAGCTCTGTTTCTGGCGTCTCTTTAACACTTCCCTAAAATGGTACAAGACTTTGTCACTGTACATATTTCTCACCTTCTTTAAAACAGGCTTGGCACTAGGAGCTTTCTTTGGAGCCATGGTAGCTTATTTAGTACTTGCAAGCACTAAAATGAGTGGAATATTATGAAATATTTCGTAGGAGCACTTGAGGGGACCTTCACTCACTGGTAAACAATGCCAGACTGGCTGGGTAGGGAGGCCTCCCCGGCTCACACCGTGTGTAAGCGTCCTGGACGAACTACTATTCGTGAGTCAATCTATGAAAAGCGAGTCCATGTTTATACAAAAATACCCCTATGATTGGCGAAATTTACGATTGCCGAGAACTATGAAAAGCGAGGGACCACTGTATATCTTTGTACATCTATGTATCATGTCCAAATTAATAATAAATAAATAAACAAATAAATAAATATATAAATAAATGTGTATGTTTAGGTACAGGTACAAATAAGCATAATTATCAAAGTACAGTGGACCCCCGCTTAACGATCACCTCCAAATGCGACCAATTATGTAAGTGTATTTATGTAAGTGCGTTTGTACGTGTATGTTTGGGGGTCTGAAATGGACTAATCTACTTCACAATATTCCTTATGGGAAAAAATTCGGTCAGTACTGGCACCTGAACATACTACTGGAATGAAAAAAGTTCGTTAACCGGGGGTCCACTGTACATATAAACTATGCAATACCTTTAACCCTTTGACTGTTTTCAACGTATAAATACGTCTTACGAGCCAACGTTTCTGACGTATATATACTCAATAATTCTAGCGGCTTCAAATCAAGCGGGAGAAAGCTGGTAGGCCCACATGTGAGAGAATGGGTCTGTGTGGTCAGTGTGCACCACATAAAAAAAATCCTGCAGCACACATTGCGTAATGAGAAAAAAAAAACTGATCGTTTTTTTGGAATAAAACGCCGAATTTGAGGTGCATTTTCGTATAGTATTTATCGTTGTATTCGCGTTTTCATGGTCTTAGGTGATAAAATGGAAAACATATTACAGAAATAGAGATGATTTTCATTACTTTGACGATGAAAACGACCTTGAAACTGAGCTCAAAGTAGCGGAAATGTTCGATTTTTACCAATGTTCAGGAGTAAATATATCACACCACACGTCCAATACACATCAACTGGGGAGTCTAATATTCTTTCACTAGTGCACTGATATTATTTATACCATTTTTACAATAATGCAGTAGTCTGCATAACAGTAAATTTTGTATTTTTTTGTATGAATAAAAAATCAAAATAGAAAGCAATAATAATATAAGAGGGGCCTAGAGATGTGACTAATGAACAGAGCATATGTTATTTTAGTGCCACAAATGTCTACCTTGTTTATTCTGGACCCTATTTTGAAATTGGCATCTTTTTTAGTTTGCGTGAAATTGGCCAAATTGCCAATTTCTGACCACCATATTGGGTAGTCCAAATTAGTAAATGGGAGGTTTCTTGTACTCAGCTGATAGATAAAACGGAGTTCTAAAGAAATAGCTATGAGTTTTGTCAACTGGAACAATGGAATTGGCTGAAAATAGGGCTCAAAGTCGGCAAAATCGCCATTACGCATATGTTGCCGAGACCGCTAACTTCGCGGGAGCATAATTCCATGAGTTTTCGACCACATTTCGAACTTTTGGTGTCATTACCATCGGGAAAAGATTATCATTTCATAAGAAATTTTTTTTTTTTTTTTTTTTTCAAAAATTGAGCAACATAGAATGACAGTTTCAGAAAGGGGCCTGAAACAGTCAAAGGGTTAAAACACTTGAAATTTTGGAAAGTTTCCTGACATCATAAATGTGCTCATGGAGAATGTAAACTAACCAGGTGGGATGTGCCCTATTTGAAAGACCACTTGCCGTCTAGCAAATTTTGGTCATAATTTGAAATCGCCGTATTAGCGGAACGCTGTAAGGCAAAACACCGTAAAGCGGGGCCCTACTGTACATAGTATTTATAGGTCCCAGCAATGTTTTGGATACAGGAGTATATTTAGGTACAGGCACACATAAGCATAATTATCAAAGTACATGTACATATAAAATATGCAATACCTTTAACCTGTAAATGGTCCAAACTATATATACGTTCACAAACCGTTTCCCCCAACTTTTTTGAAAAAAAAAAACATTGTTGTTTTTTTAATAGGAAAAAAGAACATAAGGTACCCAGGGATCCCCAATTATTTTAATATGGTGCACAGTGAGTGCTCACACCCATTCTCACATGTCTAGGCGACTCAGGCTTATCGTGGCAATGTTAAATGTAGGACACATAAAACGTATTTATATGTTTGGGGCACTAGCGGTAAAAACGTTTATATACGTTTGGACCATTTACGGGTCAAAACACTTGAAATTTTAGAAAGTTTCCTGACATCATAGATGTGCTCATGGAGAATGTAAACTATCCAGGTGGGGTGTGTTGTATTTGAAAGACCACTTGCCGTACAGCAAATTTTGGTCATAATTTGAAATCACTGTATTAGCGGAACGCTGTAAGGCAAAACCCCGTAAAGCGGGGCCCTACTGTACATAGTATTTATAGGTCCCAGCAATGTTTTGGATACAGGAGTATATAATAATAATAATAAGTTCTCTTGAAGCATCGTGTAAGTGTGTGTCCTCATCTTATCTTATCACTCTACTGCTGATAATGGTGACATTTGATGAGCTGGTCTTATCACCCCACTAATGACAGTGGTGACATTTGATAAGATTTCCTTTTATTTGTTTTCACTGTTTCTCATAAACATGTCTGTCTGTCTGTCTGTTTATATATCTGTCTGTCTAGCTTTCTGTCTAACTCTCTGTCCATCTCTTTCTAGCTCTCTGTCTGTCCAGCTCTGTCTAGTTCTCTGTCTAGCTCTGTGTGTCTGTCTATTTCTCTGTCTGTCTGTATGTGTGTTTCTGTCTGCTTGTCTCTCTTGTCTCAGAGAGCTGCTCATGAACCAACTGGTATTACAAACGATCACTATCTACCAGCACAGTACAGTAGGGCTCCACTTATATGGCAGGTTAGGTTCCAGGCTACCGCCGGAAAGCGGAAATCGCCGTGAAGTGGAACACCCTTTTTTTTCCCTTATAAATGCATACAAATACTAGATAACAAGTTTACACTAACATATATTAAGTTAGCAATAGAACTAGGCACCAAAAAACAAAAAAAAGTAAAACACACACATAGTGCACTCATTACTTACCTTAAAATATTTATAGTCTTAATCTAGGGTGAGACAAGTGGTATTTATTGTAAGAAATCAAGTGTGGTATGTATGGTAGTCAGCCGGGCTACCATACCATGCAACCCACCTACACGTAATATTCTATTACATTTAAGCATCCCAGAGCAATAAAATGCATATACAGTTCACTCATTACTTACCTTAAAATATTTGTAGTCTTAATCTAGGGTGAGATGAGTAGTATTTGTTGTAAGAAATCAAGTGTAGTATGTATGGTAGTCAGCCAGACCACCCCACCCACACATATTATTCTATGATATTTAACCCCCTCAGGGTCGAGAGGCCCTCTCCTAAACTTGTTCTCAGGGTCGAAAATTTAAAAAAAAAAAAATTCTTTTGAAACGATAGAGAATCTTTTCCCGATCATAATGACACCAAAAGTATGAAATTTGATGGAAAACA